AAAAATTGTGACGGTGAACGTCTGTCTTCTAGTTTTCCTCCAGAAGGCAGGCCCTAACCGCTAAACAGACCAGGCAGTTTATTTTAGTCATGTGGAGAGGATCAATAGTATTTGTACTTTTGCAGTTAAAATGTAGTTGTTTTATAATGCATCCTAATGTTTTGGGAAGTGGGTTTGTAAGAATAATAATAATTTAACATTTTAAAGGGACTCGAGAGAAACCAAAAATAAACCACTGGCAAGTCTAAATAACCTGTAAGTGCAAATGGGACTTTGACAGTTTGTCTTCGTCTGTGTCAGGCCTGTGATTGGCTGCCTGTCTACGGCTACTACCATCTAAACTATGAGCTAGTTGAGCTGTTGGACATGCCTGCCTCCCTCTTTAACATGCACTCACCAGTTTTCTCTTCACCTTCTTGCTACTTATCGTGCTTTCTCTTTCCAGGCCAACCTGCTGTCCTCCCATCGTAGCCTCGTTTACCGAGTAGAAACCATTGCTCTGGGAGATCAGCCATGTGACCGTGGTGAAAATGTCACATTATTCCTCTTCAATGACTGTCTTGAGGTGAAAATGCATCAACACACGATTAAAGTTTTGGTCATTCAAAGACCCAGATTCACACTTATTAACCCCTGAACCTACTGTCAGTGTAAAGGTTACCTTTATCACACCAGATCTGAAACCTAGGCTGTATTTAAATCTACCTTTGGGCTTAATTAAAAATGTATAAACATTTCTTCATATTTATATGTTGTTAGGTAAAGCTCTTTCGCAGCTAAATTAATAATTTCAGTTCAGGTTTATTTATATAGCACCAAATCATAATAACAGCTGCTTCAAGGCACTTTGCATTGTAAGGTAAAGATCCTACAATAGTACAAAGACAACTGACAAAACCCCTATGAGCAAGTGCTTCGGCGACACTGGGAAGGAAAATATAGGAATATATTGCCACCTGTTGCGTTGGCATGTTCCTAGCAGCGTTTTGCTTCATTTTTGCGTTTACGTGTGGACGGGATTATTTTTTTAAAATGAAAACGGAAAATCTCAGTTTTCAAAAATACCCGTGTACGTGTGGACGTAGCCTCAGATGCAGACATTACCATT